TTGACGATTTGGCCTCTCGCGTCCTGGACCACCTGCTCGTTGTCGGCCTCGGGGGAGCCAAAGCTCGGGATAAGGATGCTCGGACGCCAGGGGCCTTAACACCAGGAGATTTAGTGACAGCAAAGCGGGCCCGACAAGATGAGAGGATTGCCGCTCGTTTAAATGCCCGCGAAGCCACAGCCCATCAGGTTTCAGCCCGTGTGAATGGAGTTTCTTTCTGCGAGCGGTGCTTCACGGCACCCATCATATTTCTTCCGTTGAATTCATGGCTGAACTCTCCATGTGCGGGCTTTCCCCGCCAGATCCACGGGTCCCACGAGATTCGGTGCCTGCGCGGGCTCTGGTGAAGCGAGATGTGTGGCTGTTCGGGGCACCTGCGGTTCAATAATCTGGGGAAGGTTTGCCGGCGTCCGACGGAAGTTGGCAGATCCCTCCCAACAGGAAGCATTGGCCAGATGGGCCAGGTGAGGGAGCCCCAGGCCCAGACGAGTCCTGATCTTTTTCCAAAGGCCCCTGGTCCCAATGAACCAGACTCTGGCCTAGCGCAAGGAGAGGAGAAGGAGGAGGAGGAGGAGGAGGAGGAGGAGGGAGAAGAAGAAGAGGATGACAAAACGGATGAGGGGGAAGAGGAACATCACGGCGAGCACACGCAATCATGCAGAAGGAAGCGAGGGGGCGGCGAAGGCAGCAGCGGGCAAGCGCGCATGTTGGAGGCGGGCGGGGGGCGGGGGGGGGCGAAGGTCGTCGGCGGCAGTCGGGGGGGTGTCGTGGGCCGTCGTGGGTCGGGGGCTCGTCGTTGTTTGTCGGGAGGGGGCGGTTGGCCAACGTGGGCCCGTGCCGCGGGGGGAGGGGGCGGGGCGGGGGGCCAGTAGGCGCCGACGGCGACTTGCACGGCGTCGGCTGCGGCCGCCGCCGTGGCCGCTGCAAGGCGCGCAGCATCCGCCCCCGTCGACGGCTGCAGCCGCCGCAGCATCGTCCGCGCGTTCTCCCGATGATGGGAGAGTGGAAACCGCTTGGCGTGTCAGTCCGCCACTAGGGTCGCGAAGGCTCTCGTGGCCTCGCGCCCCCACCCGCCACCGTGGGGCTCCAGCGCCATGGGTATGAAGGTGAAGCCCTACGCCGCGCACCAGCGCTCGGTGTCCTAGCGCTGCCGTTTGAGCTGCTCGTAGCGCTCCGTGGCCGCGCTTGGGGACGCGGCGGAGGCGGGGAGGAGGTCGGCGCGCAGCCCTGATGTGACGGCGAAGTCCAAGGCTGCTGGCACCCCGTCGCGCCACCTGGGCAGGTAGGCGTCCGCGGGGCGGCGGTCGCTGGCGCCGAGGCCCTGCCCGTCCAGCTCGCCGTCCCGCGGCCCCTCATTGGCGGCGCGCGGCGAAGGTGCCGCGGCCGCTCCAGCTCTGTCCCCGCGAAGCAGGCCGCCTGCGCGCCGAAGAACCTCGAGTTCCGGAGCGCGTTGTGCCGCGTTGTCCTGTCGCCGCGGCAGGAGCAGGCAACGGCGAGGTCTAGCCAGGCGCCCATCGCCTTCCTCTCCGCAAGCAGGGCAGAAGTCCTCCTGGCCGAGGAGCTGGACTCGGAGTCGTCGCTGGACCTACCTGGCAGAGGCTGCGCTGGAGGCGCGTGCCCGTGGCCTCGCAGGGGGGCGCCTGGAGGTGGGTGCCGGCGCCGGGCGCCTGAAGCAAGCTCATGTGCGCCTACGGGCAGACCGAAGCGCCAGTCCAGAGGCCAGCGAGCGCCGCATCGCTAACGGCGTCGCTGAGTTTCTGCTGGTTGCCGTGCTTCTCCGGGTCGGAGGCACTCCTGTCCACGTCCGAGACGAGGGCTGTGGGTCTGCACTGTGTTCGCGAGCGCGCCCCCGTCATGCCCTGCCTCGTCGGTGAAGCCAACGTACAGCTGACTCCAGAGCACGGAGCAGGCGGATCGGGAAGCCGCGCAGGCAGCGGCCGCGCGCTGCTCGCCTGAGCGCAGGCCGAAGCCACCCTTTCGCAGCTTGAATTGCGCCTGCCGCCAGGACGCGTCGGTGAGCGAGCAGCCGGCCACCTGCTCGAGGCAGGCCCTTACCCCAACTTCCACCGCCTGCAGGTCCGCCGTGTGCGCGGTGGGCGGCACCGCCCGCGCGCTGTAGCCCAGCTTGCAAAGCGACGCACGCTGGCGCAGGACATGCCAGCCGATCTGCGAGTCCCCCAGTGCCCCCAGCGTGTCCCAGAGCTGCTGTGCCGCCAAGGCCTGGTCCTTCGTGTACTGGCAGCAGAAGTCGTCGTCGCCGACGGGCGCCACGAGGAACTCGAAACTCCGGTCCGTTCGGAGGCGGAAACCCTGCGGGAAGGCATTTATGTCTACTGCACTGTCAATGCCGCTGGCTGGGGCCACCTCGCATTACCCAGGCCTGGTGCTGAACCCCACTCCCAACGCAGCGAGGGCGGCGACCAGCTCGCAAAGGAGGTGCGCCACGGCGCGCCAAGTCCCGCCAGGGTCCCTTCACCCAGGAAAAAACACCTTGAGGTCGTTCTGGCCCGAGGGCGTTCGCTGGTCAGGATCGGGGGCGGCGTGAGCAATTAGTTTCGCGCACCGCTGGAGAGCCAGCGCGAAAAATAAAGGTCCAAGAGGGTCGCCTTGCTGGACTTTGCGCTCCGAGAGCATCCTGTGCTTGCCGAAGCAGAGGAAACACGGACGCGAGTAGCATCAGTTGGCCCATGGCGGAAAGCTGGGGAGTTCTTCCCCGTAGAGGGGCCCAGAGCAGAGCCTGTCTGTCCAACGCGGTGAACGCGATGGAAAGGTCCCTGGGGGGGGGGGGGGGGGCGGCGCACACATAGCATCGGCATGCTGGGGTGACGCCGATGATGGCACGGATGCTTGCGGCGCGGCCTCTCGAGGGCGTCGCGGGCGCCCACCCGGTGAAACGTCGACCGACCCGCCCGGCAAACGAGGAGCCGACGAGGCGCCCACCGGGCGGGCACCAGGCGAAACCTCTGCTGACCCATCCAGTTCCGTAGGAACCCCGAGTTAGAACCCCCAGATGCAAGCCGCTACGGCAAAGGGAAGCAATTAGTGGACGCTCCCCCGCTCCCCAAAAGTCAAAGTTGGCACGCGCGGGAGAGACTGCGGCCGAAGTGAAACTCATCAGGCCCACCGCCTCCTTTGAAGATTGGGGGGAGGGGGAGGCGTTGACCGATGAATGTGGCATGAGTGTTCGCTATTTTTGTCCGAGGCCTGCAAATGGGGAATCACCGGCGCCTGCCATGATTGGCGTTTCAGCCCCGCGACCCACCCCCCGTCCCGCGATTCACCCACGAGCGGTCGTGAAGACATTCGCGCCTACGGCGGGATGAACGGAGCCTGTGGCGGGCATCTTTAGAATAGCGCTCGACCCCACGGCCCTGGCAAACCAACCCAAGCGTGCCCTTCAATTTTACGTACCCGCAATTGCGAGGATCATGTATGCATGTGAGAGTGGGAGCACCCGCATGCTTGCATCAGCATGCCAGTGCTCATCAGAAGTGTCGCCATGCTGCATGCAGCGCGCACCATGCCAGAATGATCACCGGTGTTCGTGGCCTGCGCTCGAGTGAAAGGATGACACGAGACCGAAAGCCGTCCTTCCCGAGCCGTGCCCGCGGAGCTGAGATCGCTGGCCGAGGGCCTGCCCATTCGCGCAGGCAGGTCGTGGCCACTCTCGCGCAGGGGCCAAAGAGGAGCAGGAGAGGGAGCCTGCGCGCGCGGAAGGAGCGACCCGTGGGGGAATTTTTGCCTCGGACTCTCGAAGGTACACGCCGCGTAACTGAGACACATCCGCAGGCTTGCCATCTCGCCCAGCCACTGATGGAAGGAGGAGGAGGAGGAGGAGGAGGAGGAGGAGGAGAAGGAGGAGGAGGAGGAGGAGGAGGAGGAGGAGGAGGAGGAGGAAAAGGAGGACGAGTGGGAGGAGGAGTGGGAGTAGGAGGAGGAGGAGCAGGAGCAGGAGCAGGAGCAGGAGCAGGAGGAGGAGGAGGAGGAGGAGGACATCTCGGGCGTCTCCGCATGCCTTCCGGCGCGTGGGCTCGCAGGGGCCCCGCGGGGTCTGGCCCACAGAGCGCCCGGAACGCCCACGAGGCACGGCGGGATCCACGCACCACCGTGCCGCACGCGTGCTCTCGCCGGGGCCGTGGGCCAGGGTGCAGCTGACGCGGGAGCCAGCCGATCGAAGAAGCATTCGGGGAGGTCCAGCAGGAAGAGCTGGGATAGCGAAGCTCAGGGCCATGGAGCAGAGTGGGCTGGAGGAAGCGGCAAAGGCAACGCGGTCCGTGCGTGGCTAAAGTACATGCGCCTCCTTGCGGCGCGCTTCGGAGAGCACAACGCTCAGAAGAAATGCCTGCTGCACGGGCTGAACGTGCTGCAAGAGTGCCGCCAGCGAAGCGGACCCGCCCATACAAAACGGAGGCAGCCGGGACACACATCATTACCAAGGCCGCGTTCCACGAATTCCAACAGACAATCGAAGACGTGCGCCGTGCATGGTCTCACCCACACTGCAACAATCGGCAGGCGCCCCACGCCAGGAGCAGTACACTGTCCGGCTACACGCAAGAGTGACCCTAGGCAATGGGACCTCTGGTGCGCGTGCGCGGCTTTTTAGGGTGGGGCGCGAGGGGGCCCAGGCCGAGGCGCACGAGCTGCAGCTGTCGCATATGTCTCGACGATCGGGAACGCCCGTGGGCCAGCACCAAAGGTCACGCTGGCGTATGGGGAAAGACAAAGGTACCGATACCGCAACTCCGCGGACCTCTCCCGGGGCGCGTTCTGACCAGGATTTCGAGGCGAATCCAGCGGTGGCAATGGGGGCCTCCCAGGAGGCCCAAAGAGGGGAAAACGGGACGAGGGCTGGCGGTGTGGGTGCCTTTTCCTACTTTGAGCGTAGGGTCGCTCTTACGTGTAGTCGACCTGTACAACAAACCTGGTGACGCCTTCACGCCAGGGCGACCCTCGAGCAGAAGGTCGGCAACGCGCCGGCGCACGTCCCCGCACCGATCTCACGCCTCGACCTCCCTGGCCCCAGGCGTGCGCTCGAGCCACTCCTCCTCCATGCCGGCCGAGGCCAGGGCCTTGGCCTCCGCCTCACTGGCCGCCTGGGCGGCTGCGGCGGCCTTGCCCCGCGCGCGGTGTGCCCTCTTGGCGGCCTTGGCGCGGTCCGAGGCGAGCTGCTTGGCCACCTTCATCTCTGCGGCGCGCTGGGCCGTCGCCTCTTGGAGGGGCGAGGGCGAACCCGCTCAAAATCGATCCCAGGACCCCTCCTGGCGTCGAAACAGGTCAGCTCTTTGAGCCGCGCCCAGCCGGGGCGACGAGGGGCCCCTTCCTCCGCCCGCTCCGCTGGCCGGAAGCAAAGCTGTGCCACCTCGGCATCCCCCCCCAGCCGGCTCCAAGACGCCTCCACGTCCGCCAGCCGCTTTGCCTCCTCCAAGACCGCCCGGGCGCCCTCGGCCTCGGCCTCGTACGCCGAGAGCCGGTTGGCTTGTCTCTCCGCCTCCTTCGCCGCCCGCGCCTCGGCCGCCGCAGTCTGCACGGCGAGGCGCGCCTCCGCCTCCGCACCCCGCCTTCTAGAGGACGACACCAAGGGCCTACATGAGCATAAACTCATAAACTTTGGGAGCTCCGCGCGGGTGTCTTGGATTGAAGGCCCCTGGGCGGGTGCCGGGGAGGATCCGGGGACTCCCCAGACCACCATTCCCGGGCCACAGTTTGAATGCCCGGAGCCAGCTGTAGGCCACTTCGTGTTCTTCGCGTTCACAGAACACCGTTCCCAGGCCACATTTTGAATGCCCGAAGCCAACTGTAGGCCACTTCGTGTTCTTCGTGTTCCCAGAACACAATTCCTGTACCATGCTTTGATTGCCCGGAGCCAACTATGGGCCACTTCGTGATCTTCGTGTTCCCAGAACACCAGTCCTGTGCCAGATTTTGAATGCCCGAGCTGAGGCAGGCTGAGGCCGAGGCAGGCTGAGGCCGAGGCAGGCTGAGGCTGAGGCTGAGGCACGCCAAAGCAGGCTGAGGCTGAGGCTGAGGCAGGCTGAGGCTGAGGCAGGCTGAGGCTGAGGCTGACGCAGGCTGAGGCCGAGGCAGGCTGAGGCTGAGGCTGAGGCTGAGGCAGGCTGAGACAGAGGCTGAGGCTGAGGCTGATGCAGGCTGAGGCTGACGCTGAGGCTGAGGCAGGCTGAGGCTGAGGCCGACGCAGGCTGAGGCTGAGGCTGAGGCAAGCCGAGGCAGGCTGAGGCTGAGGCTGAAACTGCGGCAGGCTGAGGCTGAGGCTGAGGCTGAGGCTGAGGCTGAGGCTGTGGCTGAGGCTGAGGTAAGCTGCGGCTGAGGCAGGCTGAGGCTGAGGCTGATGCAGGTTGAGGCTGAGGCAGACTGAGGCTGAGGCTGAGGCAGGATGAGGCTGAGGCTGAGGCCGAGGCAGGCTGAGGCTGAGGCCGAGGCAAGCCGAGGCAGGCTGAGGCTGAGGCTGAGGCTGATGCTGAGGAAGGCTGAGGCTGAGGCAGGCTGAGGCTGGGGCTGAGGCAGGCTGAGGCTGAGGCAGGCTGAGGCTGAGGCAGGCTGAGGCTGAGGCCGAGGCAGGCTCAGGCCGAGACAGGCTGAGGCTGAGACTGAGGCTGAGGCTGAGGATGAGGCCGAGGCAGGCCGAAGCTGAGACAAGGTGAGGCTGAATGGGGGGGGGAAGGGGGGGGGGAGGAGGGGAGGCTGAGGCAGGCTGAGGCCGAGGCAGGCTGAGGCCGAGGCAGGCTGAGGCTGAGGCTGAGGCAAGCCGAGGCAGGCTGAGGCTGAGGCTGAGGCTGAGGCTGAGGCAGGCTGAGGCTGAGGCAGGCTGAGGCTGAGGCTGTCGCAGGCTGAGGCCGAGGCAGGCTGAGGCTCAGGCTGAGGCAGGCTGAGGCTGAGGCTGAGGCCGAGGCAGGCTGAGGCTGAGGCTGAGGCAAGCCGAGGCAGGCTGAGGCTGAGGCTGAAACTGAGGCAGGCTGAGGCATCCGTAGGAATCCATCGGAATCCTTAGGAATACCTCGGAATCCTTAGGAATCCGTAGGCATCCTTAGGAATCCGTAGGCATAGTTAAGCATCCTCAGGAATCCTTAGGAGTCCTTAGGATTCCCTAGGAATCCTTAGGAATCCATAGGGATCCCTAGGAATCAGGAAGGATTCCTAAGGTTTCCTAAGGATTCCTATGGATTCCTAACAGTGCCTAAGGATGCCTCAGGAATCCCTAGAAATCCTTAGGATTCCATTGGATCCTAAGGCCGTTGCCACTGCGACTGTCATTGCGAATGCGACTGCGACTGCGAGAACAACAGAATTCTACAACTGGATTCTCACCTGAATCTTAAGGGGAATGCTTCCAGATATGCTTATACACATCGCTGTTAGGTTGCTCTGCCGGGATAAGCTTTACAAATCATACAACAAGCCCACCGCAGGCGCCGACTTCTCGTTAGAGCAGTGTGGGTTGGTCGCAGGGTGGAACGCGGGTGGGTCGCGGCTGGTTCGCGGGGGGGTCGCGGGTGGGTCGCGGGCCGGGTCGCGGGTTGGTTGCGGGTGGGTCGCAAGTCGGTCGCGGGTGGGTCGCGGGTGGATCGCGGAGGGGTCGGGGGGTGGGTCGCGGGGTGGGTCGCGGGGTGGGTCGCGGGTGGGTCGCGGGTGGGTTTGCGGGTGGGTCGCAGGTGGGTCGCGGGTGTGTCGGGGGGTGGGTCGCGGGAGGGACGACGACAACAAACAACAATAACAACAACACCAACAACAAAACCTAGAACAACAAAACACCACCGACAACAACAACCACCACTACCACCACAACAACAGCAACCACAACGGCAGCAGCAACAGCAACCATAACAACACCATAAACAACCACCAACAACAACCACCAACAACAACACCAACAGCACCACCAACACCAACAGCAGCAACACAAGCAGCAACAACAACAGCAACACCAACACCACCCACACCAAGATCAACATCAACAACAAGAAAACCACCAACAACAACACCAACAATCATGATAACACTGTTCGATTATATCTGCTCGCGTGCCATCCAACACGTATATTCCCAAACCTCGATGTTCGTCCTATTCGTCTTCGATCGTGTCCCCTTAGGGGTATATCTTTCTTACCTGCAACGTGCATTTCGTGCAGCCCCGAGGGCAGGGGAAGAGAGGACGGATGGAAGGAAGGGACAAGGGGCAGGCGGATTGCTGAAGCGTGCGTCCTGCATGACTCGCGAAGAAGTCTTGAGCAATAACGCGATTCCAAAATACATCTGAAAGAAATCCACACCGAAAGCGTTGTCGAGGGCGCGGCGTCTGTATAATTTGCAAGGAAGTCCATAGCGAGAACGCGATTCCAATATAATTTGTGAGGGAATCCCTCGCGAGAGCTCGATTATGGAATACACTGTGAGGAAGTATCAGGCGGGAGTCGCTGTTGTTGTAAACCAGGGAAGTCGTTTGGTGCCTCTTCCCCTTCCCTCCGAACAAAAACTACTGGGTGCGAGCCCCGGGGGAAGCACGTCAACTGAACCATACAATGGTTACCGGGCAGGGGGGATCAACAATAATGATTCTGTAAAAGTTCAGCTACTTACAGCAAAAACAGCAGCAGCAACAGCAATCAGTTTAAGACTGTTCGCTCTCATCTGCTCGCGTGCCGCTCCACGCGCAGATTCCAGACCCTCGGCGCCCGCCGCCTTCGTCTTCGATCGTGCCCCCTCCGGAGGAATATCTTCCCTACCCGCCGCGTGTAATTTGCGCAGCCCCTGGAAGAGTTAGCAGTTAGCAGGAGCATGGGGAGCATGAGATTAGCTGTTGGCAGTTAGCATGGGGAGCAGTTAGCAGTTAGCATTAGCAGTTAGAGTTAGCTGTAGAACAGATGGAACATGGGAGCAGTTAGCAGGAGGGGGGCTAGGAGCAGAAAGCACGAGGCAGAACCGGACAGGCCCATCGGGTGGGCAGACCCGAACAGGCGGGTCGGGAAGCCGAGCCCAAGCGGCCAAGTCGAAAAGGCGTGCTGCTGAAGCGCGAGTACTGCGTGAATCGCGACGAACGATGGCGCGATTCCCAAGTAAATCGTGAGAATGGCCAACGCGAGACGGTGATTCCTGAGTGTCGAGGGCGCGGCGTCTGAATACATTGCGAGAAAGTCCCACCTGCATAACTTGTGAGAAGTCCCGCGCGAGAGCGTGATTTCCAGTAAGTTGTGAAAGAGTGTGAAGCTCGAGCCGTTGTTGTCGTTGTTTTTGTTGTTGGTGGTGTTGGTGTTGTTAAACTCCCACTGCTGAAGAATAATAATTGTCCTCCAGGGGATCGCACTCTGTTTTTTTGGGAAAAGTTTGAAGCTCAAGCTGTGTCGTTGGCCCCCGTTTATAGCAACAGCGGCTCCCGCCGGATATTTCCTCACAATGAATTGAAGAATCTCGCGTTCTCGCTTGGGACTTCCTCGCAACTTACCACCAAACCGCTTCGCTTGATATTTCCCCACAATTTATTCACATGCCAGTCCTCGACACTCAGGATTCGCGCTCCTTCTACAGATTGCCTGGCCAAACAAAATTCACGCTTTAACGACCCGCCCGGTCGACCCGTCCGTCGGGGCCTGCCCGCCCGACCAGCCCGTTAATGACTGCAGTCGCCGTTCGCTGCCCTTCGCCCTCCTTCGATGCCCCTCGCTCCCCGTACTGGTTCCGCGGTCGCCATCGCTCGCTGCCCTTCGTGGCCCCGTTGCTGCCTCAGTGGCTCTGTCGCTGCCCTTTGAGGCTCCGCATTATATGCCCTTCGTGGCCCCCGCTCGCACGCGCCGGTCGTGGCCCCATACGCATGCCCTTCGTAGCCCCGCTGTCGCCCTTCGTGGCCGCCTCGCTGCCCTTCGTGGCCCTTTCGCTGCCCTCAGTGGCCCCGCTGTCGCCCTTTGCGGCCCCGTATACGAGTGCCCTTCGTGGCCCCCGCTCGCTCGCGCCCGTCGTGGCCCCGCATGCCCTTCGTGGCCCCGCTGTCGCCCTTTATGGCCCCCTCGCTGCCCTTCGTTGCCCCGGTGCTGCCCTCAGCGGCCCCGTCGCTGCCCTCTGGGGGCTCGGATTTTATTCCCCTTCGTGGCCCACGCTGGCTTTTCTCACGATTTGCTTGGGAATCGCGCTATCGCTCGAGAGTTGTCCTCGATTCATGCAGGACCCACGCTTCAGCAACCCGCCTGCTCGACCTCGTCGCTTGGGCCTGCCTTCCCGACCTGCCCGCTATGCGACTGCCCACCGATCTGCCCGTCTGGTTCTACCACTTGTTTTCTGTTCCTTGCCCCCCTCCTGTTAATTTCTTTTGTGTTCCATTATTCCCTCTCTCCCTTCTCTCCCTTCCACCCATCCTCTCTTCCCTTGTTTTAGGGGCTGCACTAAGTACGCATGGCACGAAAGGAAGATATACCCCCAAGGGGGTACGATCGAAGACGACGAGGGCAGGTACCGAGGGTTTGGGATATACGAATTGATTAGCACGTGAGCAGAATAGGAGCGAACAGTCTCAACATACAAATTGCTGTTGTTGTTGGACTTTCACCACTGAAGAATAAGTATTGTTGACCCCCCTCCGGTGCACATTGTATTTTTTCTATTGGAGTGCCCCTCCAGGTGCTCGCACCCTGTTTTCTATCAGGGATAATCTTGAAGCTCAAACTGTGTTTTTGGCCCCCCAGAGTACCACAACAACAACAATGGCTCCCGCCGAATACTTCCTTACAATTTACGTAGCCAGGACCCCCGTTCCCGCCTGAGACTTCCTCGCATTTTACTCAGGAACCGCCTTCTCGCTTGGGACTTCCTTAGAATTCGTTCAGGAATCGCTCTCTCGGCGCTCTGGAGTCGCGCTCTCGCTGGAGACTTGCTTGCAACTTACTCAAGAATAACGCCCTTGCGTTGGAATTTCCGGCGATTTACTCAAACGCCGCGGTCCCGACACTCAGGCACCCAGGAGTCGCGCTCACGCTAAGGACTCCCCCAAACATTACGTAAGAATCGGGAGCTCGCTGCCCTTCGTGGCCCCGTTACAGCCATTCGTGGCCCCGTCGCTGCCCTTCGTGGGCCCGTTGCAGCCCTTCGTGGCCCCCTCGCTACCCTTCGTGGCCCCGTTGCAGCCATTCGTGGCCCCCTTGCTGCCCTCCGTGGCCCCGTTGCATCCCTTCGTGGCACTCTCGCTGTCCTTCGTGGCCCCGTTACAGCCATTCGTGGCCCCGTCGCTGCCCTTCATGGACCCGTTGCAGCCCTTCGTGGCCCCCTCGCTACCATTTCGTGGCCCCGTTGCAGCCATTCGTGTCCCCCTTGCTGCCCTCCGTGGCCCCGTTGCATCCCTTCGTGGCCCTCTCGCTGTCCTTCGTTGCCCCGGTGCTGCCCTCAGCGGCCCCGTCGCTGCCCTCTGGGGGCTCGGATTTTATTCCCCTTCGTGGCCCACGCTGGCTTTTCTCACGATTTGCTTGGGAATCGCGCTATCGCTCGAGAGTTGTCCTCGATTCATGCAGGACCCACGCTTCAGCAACCCGCCTGCTCGACCTCGTCGCTTGGGCCTGCCTTCCCGACCTGCCCGCTATGCGACTGCCCACCGATCTGCCCGTCTGGTTCTACCACTTGTTTTCTGTTCCTTGCCCCCCTCCTGTTAATTTCTTTTGTGTTCCATTATTCCCTCTCTCCCTTCTCTCCCTTCCACCCATCCTCTCTTCCCTTGTTTTAGGGGCTGCACTAAGTACGCATGGCACGAAAGGAAGATATACCCCCAAGGGGGTACGATCGAAGACGACGAGGGCAGGTACCGAGGGTTTGGGATATACGAATTGATTAGCACGTGAGCAGAATAGGAGCGAACAGTCTCAACATACAAATTGCTGTTGTTGTTGGACTTTCACCACTGAAGAATAAGTATTGTTGACCCCCCTCCGGTGCACATTGTATTTTTTCTATTGGAGTGCCCCTCCAGGTGCTCGCACCCTGTTTTCTATCAGGGATAATCTTGAAGCTCAAACTGTGTTTTTGGCCCCCCAGAGTACCACAACAACAACAATGGCTCCCGCCGAATACTTCCTTACAATTTACGTAGCCAGGACCCCCGTTCCCGCCTGAGACTTCCTCGCATTTTACTCAGGAGCCGCCTTCTCGCTTGGGACTTCCTTAGAATTCGTTCAGGAATCGCTCTCTCGGCGCTCTGGAGTCGCGCTCTCGCTGGAGACTTGCTTGCAACTTACTCAAGAATAACGCCCTTGCGTTGGAATTTCCGGCGATTTACTCAAACGCCGCGGTCCCGACACTCAGGCACCCAGGAGTCGCGCTCACGCTAAGGACTCCCCCAAACATTACGTAAGAATCGGGAGCTCGCTGCCCTTCGTGGCCCCGTTACAGCCATTCGTGGCCCCGTCGCTGCCCTTCGTGGGCCCGTTGCAGCCCTTCGTGGCCCCCTCGCTACCCTTCGTGGCCCCGTTGCAGCCATTCGTGGCCCCCTTGCTGCCCTCCGTGGCCCCGTTGCATCCCTTCGTGGCACTCTCGCTGTCCTTCGTGGCCCCGTTACAGCCATTCGTGGCCCCGTCGCTGCCCTTCATGGACCCGTTGCAGCCCTTCGTGGCCCCCTCGCTACCATTTCGTGGCCCCGTTGCAGCCATTCGTGTCCCCCTTGCTGCCCTCCGTGGCCCCGTTGCATCCCTTCGTGGCCCTCTCGCTGTCCTTCGTGGCCCCGTTGCACCCCTTCGTGGCCCCCTCGTTGCCCTTCGTTGCCCCGTTGCGCCCTTTCGTGGCCCCCTCGTTGCCCTTCGTGGCCCTGTTGCAGCCCCTCGTGGCCCTGTCGCGGCCCTTCGTGGCTCCATTGCTGCCCTCCGTGGCCCCGTTGCATCCCTTCGTGGCCCTCTCGCTGTCCTTCGTGGCCCCGTTGCACCCCTTCGTGGCCCCCTCGTTGCCCTTCGTTGCCCCGTTGCGCCCTTTCGTGGCCCCCTCGTTGCCCTTCGTGGCCCTGTTGCAGCCCCTCGTGGCCCTGTCGCGGCCCTTCGTGGCCCCATTGCAACCGTTCGTGGCCCCCTCGCTGCTCTTCGTTGCCCCGCTGTCGCCCTTCGTTGCCCCCCGTTGCTGCACTCGGTGGCCGCGTCCTCGCCCTCCGCGGCCCAATATACGCATGCCCCTTGCGGCCCCCGCTCGTTCGCGCCCGTCGCGGCCCCTTGCGCATGCCCTTCATGGTGTCGCTGTCGCCCTTTGTGGCCCCCTCGCTGTCGTACGTGGCCCAGTTGCTACCCTCAGTGGCCCCGTCGTTGCCTTTTGTGGTCCCGCATTATCTGCCCTTCGTGGCCCCTCACTCATTCGCGATCCTCGTGGCCCCATACGCATTATGTTCGTGTCCCCGCTGTCGCCCTTCGTGGCCTAGTTCGTGCCCTTCGTGACCCTGCTGTCGTTCTCTCTCTCACTCTCGTTTTTGCTCGTTTTCGTCGTCGTCGTCGTCGCCGTCGCCGTCGCCGTGGCCGTCGCCGTCGCCGTCGTCGTCGTCGTCGTCGTCGTGGTCGGTCCCCTGTCCGTCTCTCTTGGGGTCGGGCTGCCACCGATCAGCACTGCCACTGGCCAGGCCGACGGTCCGCGGCCGCCCCGCCGCTTGCCGGGGCCCGGCCTGCAGGGAAGAAAGGTACATCCCCCAAAGGGGTACGATCGAAGACGAAGAGGGCGGGTATCGAAGGTTTGGGAAATACGCGTTAACGGACACTCGAATAGATAAGAGCGAACAGTCTTAAAATGATTGATGATCATGTTGTTGATGCTCGGGGACCAAAGGTCCAGTTTGGTGACCCCCAACATTCCCTCGTAACCACCAGGTGCGGGCCGCGAGAAAAGCACATGAATTGAAAACCGCAGGGTGTCCCAGAGAGGGGGGGTCAACAATAATGACTCTGTCGAAATGCGAGCCCCGCAACAGTCCGCACCACAGAACCTCACTTCAGCCACGCGCGTAGGGACAGTGAGTGACCGTTCGGCCCCCTTTTAACTCTGATATGTTCACAGCTCCTCTGTAGAGCCTGTGACCCGACGACCGTCGTCAGCTGCGTGTGCCTCAAGAGAGGCCCCTGACAACTTACGAAAAACGCAACCGCCGAGGGCTGGAACAAAACAGTATCATAAAGCCAAAAACGTGTTTCATAGACGCCCACGACTTCTTACTCAGAAGCTGCCGCGCTCTAAATTGCTTGGGGCATTGTGCAAACCGCGCCATCGCGCACGCACAACGGGGCAATTCCATCAACGCAACAAAACGTTCACGAAAAACTCGCAAACTGTGCGCAATCACAAAGAAATTGGGAGAAACAACAAAAAAAGGTTTTGTAAAACCAGAAACGGCGCGATTCGCAATCATCGCCGTTGGGGCGTGCCGAATACGTCCACAAGCATTCTGGAAAACATGTGCAAATCTCTCTGGTGGGTGTGGGGGTGTTTTGCTCTCAATTGATGGATGGGTTCGGGGACCCCCCTCACTGGAGCGCGGAGCGCGCCAGTGGCAGCGCCCGAGGCGTCGCTCAGGGGGGGTTCTAGCGACGATCCAAAACATCTGCGCGGAACTCTGAAGTTTATGCCTACGAGGGCGAGGAGGCCAAGCGGTCTTACACCTTCCCCACGTGCGTGAGTGAAGTGGGGTTTCGTGGCCCGGATTCTGGCTATTTGCTGCTAGCCCGCTCCCTTCCCATGTTGTGCATTGCGGACAGGCACCGCGCCTCCAGCGACGAGAGCGAAGTGCAAGCGCCACCTCGCTGCGCGGACTGCCACCGGCGTCCCAGCGGGGACAAGTAAAAAACAAGGGTGGGAGGGTGGGACAGGCGGTCCCCCCTGGTCCAAAACTGCTGCGGAGGCATAAGGAAAGGAGGACAGGAGCAGAGGGAAAGAGGACAGCACATGCATGGGCCGAGCAGTGCTAGATTGGTTTGACCTTCGTGGACCAATGTTTGTTGGCGTTGTCGCCCCCCCACGACCCACCCGCGAACGTTCCGCGACGCAACCCACGACCCAGTACGCGACCCACCCGCGACCCACCGGCGACCCACCCGCGACCTTCCCGCGTCCGCACCCTCACCACTATCCGCCTGTGGCACTGTGCTGCGTGTGCCGCTGCTTCTCCCTCGAAGCCTCGCCCAGCGCTGCTGCACCTCGCCGTCCGGCGCCACCGCACCCGCCGCGCGCGCTTCCGCGAGCGCCCGCGCGCCGCCGCGCCGCTGCCCAGCGGCGGCCCGCCAGCAGGCGGCGGCCGCGGCGAGGGCGGCGAGGGCCGCCGCCAGCGCCAGGCGCTGCGAGCGCGGCGCCCGCCGCGTGCCCGGGACCCCGCCGCTGGCGCGGCGGTACGGCGCCCGCGTCGGCGAGCACCGCGGCGGCGGCCCTCCGACAGCAGGGCCCTCCTGCTTCGACGGGAGGGCCTGCACACCGACGGCCGCCGAAGAGCTCTTCCCTGCGGCCTCAGGGAGGGCGCCGGTGTGCAGAAGATCGCTGGCTGGAGGAACGTGCTGCAACACAAGCAAAAGTTGTCAGAAGTCCGCGCGGAGTTCTCGGATCGGCGATGGGCCCCCCTCCCTGGCGCGCAGAGGGCGGAGCCGGAGGAGCCACCAGGGGAGTCCAGCGCCCATCCAAACAATCCGCGCGAACCTCCGAAAGTTTATGCTATTTCATTAGTTGTTCCTCGAAGATCGGTGGTGATTTAGGCACCGCCGCCTTTCCCCCCAGACCCCCGACGTCATGACTCATTCATGACGTGGGCCCCGTGGACGTCTCGACCCCATCCCCGTGGCTGGCCTTCCATCCCGAAGTGCTTTTTGACGGCCCCCGGGCCCGGCGAGGGTCCCCCGAGGCCGACACCAGCAAAAAACCGCCCGTCGCGTCTTCTTCACAAGAGGCTCTGGGCCTGAGGCCCTGGGCGGGGCGCGCCTGTCTATGCGGTTTCTTGGCGGGCCTGCGGCGGCGCGTCGGCGCGCAGCCGCCCCGCTGCCCCGCAGAAGGCGGGCGCCGCCGCCATCTCTCCGCCGCGCCGGCCCGGGCGCTCTGCCGCTTTGCGCGGCCGGCGGGGCGGCGGCTCGGCGCTCCCAGAACGGCTGCGGCGCCGCCTGGGCCTCTCTCGATCGAACAAAGACCGACCGTCCTGGCAGACCCACAAGCCTACCGCACGAAATGCTCCCGGCACAAGCCTACCGCACGACATGCTCCCGGAAGAAGAGAATGCCCTTAGAGCATGCAGCCGCTTGGTCAAGCCAGAACTGTCACAGCCAGCAGAGAGGTTCTTAGACCATTCTTTCGTGGGCCTACAAGCGAGTCAAGCGACATCGGATGAGCCAGAAGAGCTTAGGGATCAACTCCTGGGAAGTCTTCGTAAACAAAATGAAGGGCATGCACGCCGGATGAAACTGGGTTGCGCAGGATGAAGTCCATGATTAAGCCAAATCAGATCAGGTCCACCAAAAGTAAGCGGGACCGGGCCGGACTAAACCGGATTATCCCTCTTCTGAATTGAACCTCCCAGGAGTCCCACCAGGCCTCTGGGCGGAGGTGTGTTTACAGAGTTGTCTCTTCCACCTTTCCTTTTCCCCTTCGGAGAAGGGTTTATCAGTGTTCCTTATAAATATACACCCCCTCTCCAACCTGGCCGGCGGCCAACCCGGAACCATGCCGACTCCATGCGGGCCCGCCCCCCACCATCCCTCTCAGAAACAATACAAACCGTGCCTCCACATGTAGAACATGCGCGGCCAACCCGATGCGCACCCCCCACCATCCCTGTCAAAAACAATGCTAAATACACTTTTGGGCAAAGTCTTGAACCATGTTCGTGAGGACCGCGAGCACTTCGCATTGTTTTTGGCAGGGGCGGCGGCGGGGGTCAGCATCTTCCCTGCTGTGCGCAGGGCTACCATCCCTGACATAAACAGTACAACTTGCACCTCGCGGCTAAATCTGGATCATGGGCGGCCATCCCGCGATCACTGTCAAGTGGTTTTTGACAGGGGCGGCGGGGGTGGTGGCGCGTGGCCTGCGTTGCGCAGGCCCACCAGACACAATGATGGGCATTGGCTTTCGACAGGGATGGCGGGGCCGACATGTTTCCCGATGTGTGCTGTCACGTGCGCAGGCGCACCTGACGCACTCTGCAAAAGCCCCGAACGTGGCGCACCTTGTGCGGCTGGAGTGTGCGGCGCACCTGGCGCACTCGGAGCACGTGGCGCATCTGGCGCACCAGACGTGCCTGGCACGGTCGGGCCCCAGGGGTGCCTGGCGCGCTTGGCGCCCCTGGCACGCGTGGCGCACATCGCCCAAGCGTCGCGCACCTGGGGTCGGCTTTGGTTCCACGTAGCTGGCCATCCAAAGACGCCCGCTGAACATGCTCAGGCTCGGGTGTTACTTATGTATGTGTGGGGAGGGCAGGTGGGAGTGAGCTCGACGGCTTGCGGGCGGGTGGGTAGCTTGACCCCTCCCCCTACCCCCTACCCCTGGACCTGGACGGGGGGGGGTGCGACCGACTTGGGCATCCAAGAAGGCAACGGTTAGAAGGCACAAGTCGCTGATGTGTCTTTTCGCTAACGATGGCCACCGACCAATTGCAAAGCTGATGAAACCACGGCGCTCTGTGGGTATTATTTTGGCCTCGTTAGCCAAGTATGTAAATCACATACAGTGGCGGCAAGACCTTTGAACGACAAATTGACGAACAATCCGCTGCCCATCGCGGGGGCTATCACCGACGCGCACGCAACAACAATGCTATACTATAAAGTGGCCGGCCCGGCAAACGTCACCACAAACAGGGGGTGGGGAAGGAGGAGGAGGAGGAGGAGGAGGAGGAGGAAGAAGGACAGCAGGGGGAAGGCGCCAAGCTCCAGTTCTACAACGCGCTGCTGGCGACAGCAGGGGCGGACAAATCCTGCACCCCTGTGATCAAAATGCATCGGCACAAAGCTACCCGTGACAATTATTGCCCGGGCGAGTGTGCGAAACGCGAATGCCGCCACACACGCGCGCATCGATTCCGACAAGTGAGGAAGAGGAGGAGGAGGAGGAGGAGGAGGAGGAGGAGGAGGAGGAGGAGGAGGAGGCGGAGGAGGAGGAGAGGGGGAGGGAGGGAGGGAGGGAGGGAGGAGGAGGGGGAGGTGGAGGAGGAGGAAGAGAAGGAGAGAGCCGCAGCAGGGACCAGCCTCAAATCTAGGATAGGCCAGTCTGCCCGAAATTTACCTGCTGCCTGCCGCAGGCGTAGGCTGGCACGGGCCGATCGATACGAATTCCCCAATAGCCCCCAAGGCTCCCAAGATGCCCCAAGAGTGCCCCAAGAGGACCCAAAGAGGCGCCCAGGAGGCCCCGAGAGGCCCCCAAGGCGACCAAGACGCTCAAAGAGGCCCCCAGGACCGCCAAGAGGCCCCCAGGACACTCCAAGAGGACTTCAAGAAGCTTACAAGCGATATCCGAAGAGACTCCGAGAGGCATCCAAGAGGCCTCTCGCAATGCTTTTCCTCTTTTCAGCAACCCAAAAGAAGCTTCTAACCATTCTGCTCGCTTCCTCCCCCTCCCCCTCCTCCTCCTCCTCCTCCTCGTCCTCCTCCTCCTCCTCCTCCTCCTCCTCCTCCTCCTCCTCCTCCTCCGCCTGTTCCTCCTCCTCGTCTATTTTCCCCTCCCCCTCCCCCTCCTCCTCCTCCGATGCCTCCTCCATCCTCCCCCTCTTGGGACGCGACGGCTTCCCCGGCCTTCCGCTGCCCGGATCCGGGCCGCTCGCCTGGGCATCGCTGCTGGCTGGGCCGGTGCGGGCTCCGCGGAGCGCTGAGACTGCCTCCTGGCGCGGCCGCGAGGGCCCATGAAGCCCCAGCGCCTCGGGGCGCCCGCCGAGCGCTCCGCGGGGCACCCGCCCCGCCGCACGTGGCGGTCAGCTCGCCCGGGTCGGCGCGCCGAGGCGAGCGGGAGCGCCCCCTCGGCGCGCGGCGGCCGTGCGCGGCGAGGGGCCGACGGCGAGGGCCGACGGCGAGGGCCGTCGGCGGGGGCTCGGAGCCCAGAGAGCCGGGGCCTTGCCGTGCTGTCAGTGCGGGTGCCTCTCGAGGGTGCGTACTGGCCCGCCAGAGGCGCCGCCAAGGGGGCCCAGCGCGGGCCCAAGAAGTCCGCGCGGAACGCCAACTGTTTGTGCTTGTGGCGTTTTCCCTTCCTGGAACGAGGGGCACCCAGAAAAATCCAACCAGCTGTGGTTGTGTCGGGGATCTACTGGCCGGGGTCAATCCAGACCCAGGTCGGTCAAGCGTTGCAGAAGCCTGCAGGATCCTGCGCCCCAGCCCCTGGTCAGTGCGGCCCCGGCTCTGCAGGATCCTGTAAGACCCGGCGCTCTGACCGACCCCCGTTTGCATGGACGCCCGTCTCTTGATCAAGCCCCGATTCTCTCGGAAGTTCCGTTCCCCGGGGCTGGCTCTTCATCCCGAGCCCCCACACATCCTGCGTGCCGACAAAAATCGCGACAGAGGTCTGTCCCAGTGTTCGGCCCCTCGGGGCCTTTCCCAGGCGTCGAGAGGTCGGGGGCCCCTGTCTCGAAACATCGAGGCGCCGGATGTCTAGGAGCCATATATGGGGCCCCCGGGATCAACGCGGGGGGTGCTGAGGGTAGAAGGGGTTATCCGTGGACGCTAGGGTGGGCTATAACTGGCCTAAGCGAACCTGTCAGTGGGGTACAACTGGTCTGGGCAAAGTGGGCTCCGCCCACTTGGCGGATTACCGAAACCCTGAGCCACTCAGGGCACCAGTAGCCCACTCATAGAGATGGTTAGCCCAGATATGGCCACTCTGGCATCCGCTGAGAACCCCCCTTACCCCCTGAGCACCCCCCGCGGTGATCCAAGCGGGGGCTAGACACTGCGACAAACACTCCGATTCGCTGTTGTTCGATAGCGCTGGCGGTCTGGGGGTGCGGAGCACGCGAGCCCTGCCATCGTCGAGGGGCCCTCTGCTCCGACTGGGTCCTGGCCGAGAGCGCGTGGGCAGAGCCCGAGCCCCCCTGCGCGCGCCGCGCTCCTCCTCACCGACACTGCGCTGGGGGGAGTCGGCGGCCAAGGTGTCCGAGAGCGGTCCCCCCCTCCGCGGCCAGGGAGGAGGAAGGCACCCGTGCGGGCAGAGGACTTCGGAGGTGCCGTGGGCTGTTTGCCGGGTGCCCTATAGGGCCCAGGGCGGCCCCTGGGCGCCATCTCGGAAACACCTGCCGCCCCCACTCTCTTCCCGGCCACCAGGTCACCAGGGGCCCAGGACCCCATCTCCCGCAGCGACGCCGAAAGGAGCACCGACGACGAACCAACCAACTGCGACCACGTGCCTCCTTAGGCAAGCTATATTGGGCCACGGGGGCTCGAAGCGTCGGGCGGCCCGGGCGCGAGCGGGCCCAGGCAGTGCCTCCTGGACCCCTGAGGAGCAGGAGTCGGCAGAGGAGGCTTGCCTGGCAGTTCGTGACGTGTCCGACCTGATCACATCCCCCGCGTTGCGACCACGTGCCGCCCCTCGCCCTGCCCCGCAGCGCGCCACGAGAACAGCTGGCACAGGGCGGGCACGGCAGCGCGCAGGGCGGAGGCCACGCCCGCGTGCCAGACCAGACCCGACGCTGCCTGCCTCTGGCCTTCGCCCTGGCCTCCGCCTGTCCGCCTCCCGCCCCGCCGCCGACGAAGACCATCACCATGACCATGACCTCGACCACGACCACGACGACGGCGGCGACGACGACGGGGACGCGGACGACGGCGACGACGACGACGACGACGACGACGGCGGCGGTGGCGGCGGGGGCGGGGGCGGCGAGAGAGATCATGGTGACGACGACGACGACGACGACGACGACGACGACGACGACGACGACGACGACGACGACGACGACGACGACGACGACGACGACGACGACGACTGCGAGGGCGGTGGCGGCGGCGGCAAGCACCGCGACCGCGGGAGCCGGCCTCAGTGGCTGGCGTCGCCTGCTCGCCAGCGGTGGCCAGGAGGCCGGCGGGGTGCGTCCGGCGGTGGCCCACTGCGTGCTCCTGCCGGGCGGGGTGGTGCGTCGGGCTCCTCCTCCTCCTCCTTCTCCTCCTCGTCCTCCTCCTCCTCCTCGTCCTCCCCCTCCTCCTCCTCTCCTCCTCCTCCTCCTCCTCCTCCTCCTCCTCCCTCCTCCTCCTCCCCCTCCTCCTCCTCCTCCTCCTCCTCCTCCTCCTCCTCCTCCTCCTCCTCTCCTCCTCCTCCTCATCATCCCTCCCCCCTCCTCTCCACGGGCGGGTCCCTCCTGCGCAGGAGGCGACCACATACGCTGGTCAGGGCCATCATAGGCCCAGGCGCGATGCACACGCCATCGCGGCCCGGGCCAGGAGGCTCGACGCCATCCTGCCCAGAACTTCCCGCGTCGTGACACAAGAACGCCGTACGATTCTTGCTCTGGGCGCCCTCGCTAGGCCCAGGACCGTTCGAGAACTAAGAGCGCATTCTCAATCCTCGCGGCCATACCCAGCGTTATGGGCGGGGCGGGCGGGGCGGGGGGACATAACATAACGCCCCCCCACCAGTCGCGTGGCTCCAGGACTGCAACGCCTGTACGCATTACAGCAAGCACCACAGTGCGCAGCACAATATGCACCGCCGAAGCCGCGTGCAACACATCGCCCATGTACTGCGCAGTGCATGGGTGCAGCACCAATTATCTTTTCCCCGCGCACCCTCTTCGAGTAGTGTTCTGCAATGGTGTTTGCTGGACGACGAGGGCGCCCGAGCGCCAGATGACGAAGGCGACGACGACGACGACGATGAGGATGATAATGACGACAACGATAATGACGACGACGACGACGACGAGGACGAGGACAGTGACGACGACGACGACGACGACAACCACGAGGACGAGGATGAGGACGAGGACAGGGACGACGACATCGTCGTCGTCGGCGTCACTTCTCAGAAAGCTGGAGGGCTTCTGAAAAGCCCCGCGGCCTTCTGAGGAGGCCTGCTCCTTCTCACTTCCCCCATGGGCGCGCCGCCGAGTCACGCCAAGCAGAAGCTCCCGGCCATACCTTTCCCCGCCCCCTCCCCCCCCCACAGCTACCGCCGCGACACTGCAGCACGAAGGAGCAAGCGTGAGGTCGCGGATGGGTGGCAACGATGGGGGAGGACTGGCAAAGGGGGGAGTGCATAGACCTGGAATCGGCGATGCATCGCCGAAAGATCGGCGATAGGCCAACGATAGTGAATCCGCACCTTCCTGGGCAGGTTGGGGCTATCGGCCCCCTATCAGCGATCAATGGGCGATTGGGGGTCGATGCACCCCCCCCCTCCCCCTATGCCTATCTCCCCCAATCGTTGCCCCCGACCTGAGCTTGCCACTTCAAACGTACACAGATGACGTCCACCGGCGTCAGACCTCGGTCGATGCAAATTCCTGAGCGTACATCGGCCTCTGCAAACCTCAGGAGCCCCGAGCAGTCGATCAGGCAGGGAGGCGACTCTCCGAGGTCTGGGGCCCGCGGGGGCCTTGCTCGCATGCTCGCGCGATGCGCCCACAGCGCTCCTGCCTCGCATTGCTTCCTCCATCCTGCCCAAACCCCATCGCGTCCCGAAAATCATGGCGCAAGGTTTCTTGCTGTTTTCGCCCTCTGGGGGCCCTCGCTGGGTCCCGGGACCGGCAACAAAGAGGCTCAGGATGAAAAACTGGGCCTGGGGAATGGGCCCCGACTTCTGGGGCGCCATGTCATGGCAAGAATCATGACGTCGGGGGTCCGGGTCCTTCTCCTGCTCACCAGTCTCATCCTCCTCCTCCTCCTCCTCCTTCTTCCTTCTACTCCCTTGCTCCAAATCGTCTTCCTCGTCATTCGCAGCAGAACGCCTGGGGGACGAGATCGATTCGAGCACCAGACACTGATACTCCCCTCATGCAACACCATGCGCACCAAGTCGCCACTATCGCAAACGGGTCCAGGGAACGAGGCACCAACTGCGTCGGCTACTGCGCATCGGGTCGTCATCATTGTTTGACAACTCAAATTTCGGAAAATATGGCAGGGATGTTCCCTGCACACGGCCAGAGCACAAGGCAAGACAATTCGCCGACCCAACGGGCCAGAGGCGTGCTAAGAGGCCCCAAAGGGCCACCAAGGGGCCCCCAAGAGGCAGCTCAAGAGGCCCAAGAGGCCCCCAAGAGGCCCCAAGAGACCCCGACACGGCCCCCAAGAGGCCTCAAAACTGCCTCCCAGAGGCCCCCGAGAGGCCAACCACGAGAGCCCAACCAACATCCAAGGCCTCCGACCCACCACCCAGGCACGGTGGCGGGATGGGCCGAAGGCCAATCCGCCGCCCCCTGTGGTCTTGCCACAGGGGTGCACGGCGTGCTGGACGATTCAGGTTTTGGTTTTGGTTCTTTTTCTAAAAGAACTCCCCAGTGGGCTTCGGCCCGTCCCGCCGGCCACCCGTAATTTTCCCAACATCCGTTTGTCAATGCCTCCTTTGTTGCCCCAACTTGGCCCAAGATGGCCTCCAAGACGGCCAAGATGGCCCAAGATGGCCTCCAAGATGCCTCCCAGACGGCCAAGATGGCCTCCAAGACGGGTAAGATGGCTCCAAGATGCCTCCAAGACGGCCCAAGATGCCCTCCAAGACGGCCAAGATGGCCCCAAGATGCCTCCAAGATGGCCCAAGAGGCCTCCAAGACGTTCTCCAGGAGAGCCCGAAGAGGCCAAAATCATTGGTTTTCCTTAGGTTTTTGAAGGTTTTTTGCGTTTTCTTCTTTTCGGCCTTCCGACGGCCCAAGAGGCCCCCAAGATCGCCCAAGAGGCCTCCAAGAAGGCCCTATGACGGCCCAAGGGCCCCCCAAGACGGCCCCAAGAGCGCCCCAAGACGGCCCAAGAGGCCTCCAAGACGCCCAACATGGCCTCCAAGACGGCCCTGAAGCGCCCCAAGAGGGCCCCAAGACGGCCCAGAGAGGCCCCCAAGACGGCTCCAGACGGCGTCAGACGGACCAGGAACGCCCTAAGACGGCCAAAGAGACCCCCAGGAAGCCCCCAAAGGCCCCCAAGAGGCCCAAGGAGGCCCCCAAGATGCCTCCAAGAGGCCTCGAAGAGGCCCCCAAGAAGCCCCCAACAGACCCCAAGGGTGCCCCAAGAGACTCCTAACAACCCTCATCCTCCTACTCTATTTCTTCCTCTTCCTCTTCCTGTTCATAATCATTCTCTCCCATGTGTTCCCCGAAAGCTTTCCAAACCGACTCGGGGAACTCATGGTCCCATAGCTTGGCCAAGCTCTAGTCCAACTTTCGGCCACATCGGCGTTTCCAAAAAGGCAGGGGGCGGCGGTGATTCGCCGTAGGCGTCTTCGATAGATCCGCCGCCCCCTGTCGATTCATCGCAGGGGTGCCTGGCGTGCTAGATCCTCTCGGTTTTGGATTTGGTTCTTTTTTCCACAAGAACCCCCCTGGGGCTGCGGCCCGTCCCGCCGGACACCCGGAAAGGTGCTCAATCCGGAAAACAATCCTCCAAGATGGCTCAAGATGGTGCCAATGGCCACGTTGGACCAAAATGGCCTCAAAGATTGTCCAAGATGGCCTCAAAGTCCGCCCAAGATGGTCGAAGACGGCCTCCAAGACGGCCCAAGAGAGTCCAAGACGGCCCAAGACGGCCCAAGAGGCCCCCCAGAGGCCTCCCAGACGGCCCAAGAGGCCTCCAAGAGGTCCCCCAGGAGGGCCCGAAGAGGCCAAAGTCATTGATTTTCCATAGGTTTTTAAAAGAATTTTGGAATTTGCTTCTTCTCAGCATTCCGACGGCTCAAGACGGCCCAAGAGGCCCCCAAGATCGCCCAAGAGGCCCCCAAGAGGGCCCCATGACGGCCCAAGTGGCCTCCAAGATGGCCCCACGAGGGCCCCAAGACGGCCCAAGAGACTTCCACCACGCCCAAGATGGCCTCCAAGACGCCCAAGATGGCCTCCAAGACGGCACTGGAGCGCCCCAAGAGGGTCCCAAGTCGGCCCAGAAAGGCCCCCAAGACGGCTCCCGACGGCGTCAGACGTGCCAGGAACCCACCAAGATTGCCGAAGTTGGCTCAAAGCTGGCCCAAGACGGCCCAAGAGGCTCCCAAGGCCTCCAGGAAGGCCAGAACAGGCCAAAAACATTGATTGTCCTAAGGTATTTGACGGATCTTGACATTTGCTTCTTTCCGCCTTCCGACGGCTCAAGAGCCCCCAAAGATCGCCGAAAGATCGCCCAAGAGGCCTCCAAGACGGCCAAGATGACCTTCAAGATGTCCACGTGTTCCCCGAAGGCTTTCCAAACCGATTCGGGGAACACATGGTCCAATGGCTTGGCAGGTCTGGCCTCAACGTTCGGCCACATAAGCGCTTCCATGAGGCAGGGGGCGGCGGTGATTCGCCGTAGGCGTCTTCGATCCGCCGCCCCCTGTCGATTCATCGCAGGGGTGCCTGGCGTGCTAGACCCTCTCGGTTTTGGTTTTGATTCTTTTCCAAAAGAACTCTCCCAATGGGTTTTGGCCCGTCCCGCCGGGGTACCGGGAGGATTGCCCAGGAGTGCAAACTCCACGGAAAATCCTCCCTGAAACGGCCGTTTCGCTCGGGGCATCCTCAACAAATCGCGAAGATGGCCCAAGATGGCCTCCAAGTCCACCCAAGATGGTCGAAGACGGCCTCCAAGACGGCCTAAGAGAGTCCAAGACGGCCCAAGACGGCCCAAGAGGCCCCCCAGAGGCCTCCCAGACGGCCCAAGAGGTCTCCAAGAGGTCCTCCAGAAGGGCCCGAGGAAGCCAAAGTCATTGATTCTCCAAAAATTTAAGGATTTTGGAATGTGCTTCTTCTCTGCATTCCGACGGCTCAACACGGCCCAAGAGGCCCCCAAGATCGCCCAAGAGGCCCCCAAGAGGGCCCCATGACGGCCCAAGTGGCCTCCAAGACGGCCCCAAGAGGGCCCCAAGACGGCCCAAGAGGCCTCCAACACGCCCAAGAAGGCCTCCAAGACGCCCAAGATGGCCTCCAAGACGGCCCCGAAGCGCCCCAAGAGGGTCCCCCGTTGGCCCAGAAAGGCCCCCAAGACACTCCCGCGACGGCGTCAGATGTGCCAGGAACCCACCGAGATGGCCGAAGTTGGCTCGAAGCTGGCCCAAGACGGCCCAAGAGGCCCCCAAGAGGGCCTCCAGGAAGGCCAGAAGAAGCCAAAAACATGGATTGTCCTAAGGTTTTTGAAGGATTTTGACACTTCCTTCTTTTCGGCCTTCCGACGGCCTGAGACGGCCCAAGAGCCCCCAAAGATCGCCTCCAAGACGGCCAAGATGACCTTCAAGATGTCCACGTGTTCCCCGAAGGCTTTCCAAACCGATTCGGGGAACACATGGTCCAATGGCTTGGCAGGTCTGGCCTCAACGTTCGGCCACATAGGCGCTTCCAAAAAGGCAGGGGGCGGCGGTGATCCGCCGTAGGCGTCTTCGATCCGCCGTCCCCTGTCCATTCGTCGCAGGGGTGCCTGGAGTGCCGAATGATATGGTTTTGGTTCTTTTTCCAAAAGAACTGCCCCTGGTGCTTCGGCCCGTCCCGCCGGGGTACCGGGAGGCTCTTCCAGGAGCTGAATTCCCTTTCAACTCCTCTAAGACGGCTCAAGATGGCCTCCAAGATGGCCACGTTGGCCCAAGATGGCCTCCAAGATGGTCCAAGATGGCCTCCAAGTCCGCCCAAGATGGCCCAAGACGGCCTCCAAGACGGCCCAAGAGAGGCCAAGACGGCCCAAGACGGCCCAGAAAGGCCCCCCAGAGGCCTTCAAGACGGCCCCAGAGGCCTCCAAGAGGTCCTCCAGGAGGGCCCGAAGATGCCAAAGTCATTGATTTGCCTTAGGTTTTTGACAGATTTTGGCATTCGCTTCTTCTCGGCTTTCCGACGGCCCAAGACGGCCCCCAAGATCGCCCCCACAGCGCCCAAGAGGCCTGCATTGCCCAGGACTGCCCAAGAGGCCCCCAAGAGGGCCCCAAGAGGGCACAAAGACGACCCAAGAAGCCTCCAATACGCCCAAGTTGGCCTCTGAGACGGCCCTGGAGCATTCCAAGAGGGCCCCAAGTCGGCCCAAAGAGGCCCCCCCTAAACGGCTTCCGACAGCGCCAGACGGGCCAGGAGCCCACCAAGACGGCCGAAGATGGCCCTAAGACGGCCCAAGACGGCCCAAGAGGCCTGCAAGAGGGCCTCCAGGAAGGCCCGACGAGGCCCAAATCATTGTTTACCATGAGTTTTAAGGATCGTGGCATTTGCTTTTTTCGGCCTTCCGACGTCCTGAAAGCCCCAAAGATCGCCCAAGAGGCCCAAGATGGCCCCAAGAGGCTCCCAAGACGGCCCAAGAGGCCTCCACGACGCTCAAGATGGCCTCCAAGACGGCCCAAGAGCCCTCCAAGACGTCCTCCAAGAAGGCCCGAAAGGGTCAAAATGGCCTCCAGACGGCCAAGATGACCTTCAAGATGCCCACGTGTTCCCCGAAGGCTTTCCAAACCAATTCGGGGAGCACATGGTCCGATAGCTTGGCAGGTCTGGCCTCAACGTTCGGCCGCATAATTAGGCGCTTCCAAAAAGGCCGGGGGCGGCGGTGACTCGCCGTAGGCGTCTTCGACCCGCCGCCCCCTTCTGACTTGCCACAGAGGTGCCCGGCGTGCTAAATCCTTTCGGTTTTGGATTCGGCTCTTTTTTCAAAAGACCTGCCCCTGAGGCTTCGGCCCGTCCCGCCGGGGTCCCAAAAGGGAGCTCAATCCTAATGTTTTCCTCCAAGACGGCTCAATATGGCCTCCAAGATGGGCACGTTGGCCCAAGATGGCCTCCAAGATGGTCCAAGATGGCCTCCAAATCCGCCCAAGATGGTCCAAGACGGCCTCCAAGACGGTCCAAGAGAGTCCAAGATACCTCCAAGTTCGCCCAAGAAGCCTTCAATACGGCCCAACACGACCCAATAGGCCTCCAAGAGGTCCTCAAGGAGGGCCCGAAGAGGCCAAAATCATTGATGTGCCTCAGGGTTTTGAAAGATTTAGGCGTTTGCTTCTTTTCGTCCTTCCGACGGCTCAAAACAGCCCAAGAGGCCCCCGAGATCGCTCTAAGATCGCCCACGAAGCCTCCAAGATGGCCCCATGACGGTCCAAGAGACCCCAATGACGGCCCCAAGAGGGCCCAAAGAGGCCTCCAAGACAGCCGAGGTGGCCTCCGAGACGGCTACGATGGCCCCAAGATGCCTCCAAAACTGCCCCAGATGCATCCAACATGGCCTAAGATGGCCGCAAGATGGCCCAAGACGGCCCAAGAGGCTCCCACGAGGCCTCCAAGACGGTCCAAGAGCCAGGAGAGCCCGAAGAGGCCCAAATCATTGATTTGCCTTAGGGTTTTGAAAGATTTTGGCATTTGCTTCTTTTCGGCCTTCCGACGGCTCAAAACGGCCCAAGAGGCCCCCAAGATCGCCCACGCGGCCTCCGAGATGGCCCCATGACGGCCCAAGAGGCCCCCAAGACGGCCCCAAGAGGGCCCCAAGCGGCCTCCAAGACGGCCACGATTGCCTCCAAGACGGCTAAGATGACCCCAAGATGCCTCCAAGACAGCCCAAGATGCATCCAAGACGGCCGAAGACGGCCTCAATATTGCCCAAGACGGCCCAAGAGGCCCCCTAAGAGCCTCCAAGACGGCCCAAGAGGTCTTCAAGTGGTCCTCAAGGAGGGCTCGAAGAGACCAGAAGCATTGATTTTCCGTAGGTGTGTGAAGGATTTGACATTTGCTGTTTCTCGGCCTTCCGACGGCTCAAAACGGCCCAAGAGGCCCCCAAGATCGCCCCAAGATCGCCCACGAGGCCTCCAAGATGGCCCCATGACGGCCCAAGAGGCCCCCAAGACGGCCCCAAGAGGCCCCCAAGAGGCCTTCAAGACGGCCAAGGTGGCCTCCAAGACGGCTGAGATGGCCCCAAGATGCCTCCAAGACGGCCCAAGATAAACATCGAAGACGGCCTAAGACGGCCCAAGAGGCCCCCAAGAGGCGCCCAAGACGGCCCAAGAGGCCTCCAAGAGGTCGTCCAGGAGGGCCCGAAGAGACAAACATCATTAATTTTCCGCAGGGTATTGAAGGATGATGGCATTCGCTTCTTCTCGACATTCCGGCGGCTCAAGACGGCCCCAGAGGCCCCCAAGATCCCCCGAAGTTCGCCCACGGGGCCTCCAAGATGGCCCCATGACGGCCCAAGAGGCCCCCAAGAGGCCCCCAAGACGGCCCCAAAGACGGGTTAAGAGGCCCCCAAGAGGCCCCCAAGACGGCCCCAAGACAGGTTAAGAGGCATCCAAGACGCCCAAGATGGCCTCCAAGACGGGCCCGAAGCGCCCCAAGAGGGCGCCAAGCTGGTTCAGAGAGGCCCCCAAGACGGCTCCCGACGGCGTCAGACGGGCCAGGAACGCCCTAAGACGACCAAAGAGGTCTCCGAGAAGTCCCCCAAAGGCCCCAATAGGCCCTCAAGAGGCTCTAGGAGAGCCCAAGATAGCACCAACATGGCCTCCAAGACCGCAAAGATGGCCCAATAAAAGCCTAGAGTAGCCCAAGAGGCTCCCAAGAGGCCTCCTCCTCCCTTCTCCGTCTTCCTCCCTCTCCACTCCTTCGTCCTCCCCCACCGTGTTCCCCGAACGCTTTCCAAACCGATTCGGGGAACACATGGTCCGATAGCTTGGCAGGTCTGGCCACAACGCTCGGCCACATAGGCGTTTCCAAAAAGGCAGGGGCGGGCGGTGATTCGCCGTAGGCGTCTTCGATAATCAACAACAACACCCAGCAGCACCGCATTGACAACGATCACTTGGGCAATTGGCAGCGCTCCAAGTGGCACTGGTCGAACGATCGGTCCGAGACACCCGCGATGGCTTCCAGACGGCCCACGACGAGTAATTACAAGACCCCCGAAGAGGCCACCAAGAGGCCTCCCAAGAGAGCTCCAAGAGGCACACCCCGACAAACGACAGCGGCGAGGTAATACGGGACGGGCGGAACGAGCGCAGCGATTCAGAACAGCACGAAAACTGTCGGGAACAGCCCGAAGCACCTCACGCCAACGTCTGGTGCTTGATGACACGCTTGAACTGCCAGTGGCTTCGGCTCCATTCGCCGAAGGACCTCTCGAAGCCGCTGTGCACGTCCTCGAGCGCGTAGGCGGCGAAGAGGAGGACGTAGGCGTAGCGCTCCAGGTAGTTGTGCGCCCGCTTCGCCCAGAACTCGGGCGAGCGTGCCGCTCCCGGCTCCGCCTTCGAGGCAGCGTCCGTGCACTGCACGATGGCCTCCACCATGTTCTGGGCGTGGCCGCAGTCGTCGCAACACTGGTCGGCCAGGAGCTTCGCCGCCAGACCGCGCCCCGCCATTGCCATGCCGGCCTCGACCGCCGCCTTCGAGAGGGCGGCTCCTGGGGATCTACCCAACAAGGTACCGACAGCGCTGCTCCCTGGACCTCTCCTGGGGTGAGCTCTGGCCTTCGGTCGGGCGTGTCCCCCTACAGGCGTATTTTGAGCGAACAACTTAAACTATTCCCAACATCCATAACAATAGTCAAGCAAATACTGAAACAAACCCGGCTATGTTTTGACTATTTTTGAAGATTCCTCCTGTAGAGGGACAGGCCCGACTTAACTCTGGCCTAAAAAGGCTCGAGGCGAGCCCAGCGGTGGCGATCAGTGGCCTCTCAGGAGGCCCCCCCGAGAACAGGCGAGAGTGAGGCGAGGGCAGCGGCGTCGGCACCCCTTCGCCCTCGAGGCTCCGTCCACCAGGCGGAGCAGCTCCAGGACCGATGTGAACTCCCCGCGCGTGCGGTTGCGCTCCTTGGCCGAAGGCTCCGGAAGCTGCGGCACATCCTTCGGCGGGGTCCATCCCCTCGCCGCCAGGAGGAGAATGGACCCACAGACCATTCCCGTCGTCGTGCGGCCCCGGCCCATTTGGCAGTTGAAGACAAGCGCTGTGTCGTTTTTCACGCCCCTGCGCGCGAGTGGCTTCAGCTCTCTCACGAGCTGGTCAAAATCTCCTTCCTCTGGCGCGGTCTCGTCAGCGATGGGCACGCGGCTATAGATAAGCTCTGGCATACCAGCTTCAGTCTTGAGGTGGTCGTACGCATCCCGCACGGTAAACGAGCGATCCGCTGGCGCCTTCAACTGTTTCTCGATATTGTCTCCGGCTCCGACCTGGTAGTACACGGGCAGAGTCTTCCCTTCTGTGTTGTCGGCCGCCGCCACGCAGTCCTTACACAGCCGCTGCTCTATCGACGCAAGCTCCCGGCCCTCGATTCCCTGAAGGTGCTCGATCCGCCACGGCGCCCTCCGAATGTTAGGCTGTGTGAGAACGCCCATGCGCTGTCTGGTAGGGCTTCTGCATGCGGGTCATGCGGGCCCCAAGAGTATACACCACCACCACGTCGACTCCTCCTCCCTCCTCAGCCCTCATTTTCCTGCCCTCTCTCCTGGGAGAGGGAGGGAGATGAGGGAGGTGGTGGTGGTGTATACCTTTGGGCCCCGTGCTGCAACAGTCTGGAAGACGCCCCCCCCCCACCCCACTCGCTGACGAACCTTCCCAGGACAGTGGCGTACACCCTGCGAAATGCTTAAGAAATCATGGGTTAAGAAATTCATAGTTTCAGAACTTGAACAAAAACCCAAGATTTCTATCAAATCTTAGGATTTACATTGAAACGTTAAGAATAATCGAGACTCTGGCCGAAAACTTAAGTTTTCTTAAGCATCGCCTGAGGTGTACGGTTTGTTCCCCAGTGCTCTTTGCAGCCCTGAGGTGGCCCCGCCGTGCGACGGCACCGAAGCGCCCAACGATCGGCCTACCACGGCGCAGGACCTTCCAGAGGTTCCAAGATGGTCCCCAGAGGCCCCACAAGGCTCCCATGGGCCCCCAACTCCCAACTGGCGCCCGACGAACTCTCCAACGACTACTTCGGAGGCCAAGAGGTTCAGCGTAAGAAGGGAGAGCGCGTGTTTTTTTTGCGTTCCAACATTTTCGTCCCGGTGGTAAGGCACGAGGATGACCGCACAGAGCCACAAGACAGTACCAGAACACCCCGAGAAGTACTCGTGGCGGCCTTTGACAACGCAATGACAGCCAGAACCCAAAATGTTTCACGCAATCTCGCAGCCCCAAGATCGCCCCAAGACAACGGCGGATGCCCCACCCCATCCAGATCCTCCCAAAATCTGTCGCTAGAGCTTCCTGGCGTCCATCCTGTCGAGGCGGACTCAGCCGTGGCGACAAGCGCTGGCGAAGAGCCTCCAGGCGGCCCAGGCTAGACGGAAAACGCCGGGGGGGCCGCCGTTGTCTGGGCCCCCTTCGCCTGGGCGAAGTTTGGTTTTTGGCACCGGGCGATCCGCTTCCCCTCAAGGGGGACATTATCGCAACGGACCCTCCGCCCGCGCGAAGTTTGCTCCCAATCCCGTCCAGATCGCCCTAAGATGGATCTGCCGAACCTTGTCGGGAAAGATCGGTAGAAGCATCGCGCCCACGACGGCCGCCAGACGCCCAACCAGCTCACGGGAGGCCCTTCGGACGCTCCCACAGAGCCACCAGAACGGTCCCAGCAGGCCAGAGTGCCTCGGACAACCGCCCAACGCATTCGTTATCGAATAACCAGCGACTCAAGCGACATTACGGCACGCCTCGGTGCAACATCGTTGCGCTTCTTCACAGCTTGCCCAGAGATGGCTCTCCTGGGCCTTTCCTGGACAGATCTGCAGGATCATCCTGCATGAATTCCGATGCTGCGCAGGCACAGTGGCTTGTTCAGCCGCAAGCGCCTGTATATTCTCATTCAAGTTGCCGGCTGTGCGTGGTGCGCACGCTTGCCCGTCCAAGAAGACGACGGGCTCCTCGCGCATGTTGAACCAGAGGACCTTGTCGTAGCCCTTCTCTTTCAAATCCTTGGCCAAGAACTTTATCCCATCCAGGTGGCACTGCCCGCTGCCAAACACTGGCAGATCTGCAGTGTTCGTCTTCCGAAAGTTCCATGCTTCGGGGTGAAGACGCTCCGACTTTAGCAAATGAATATTCTCAAACTCGTCGCACTTCATCACCAAACCCTCCAAGACCGCCTCCGTGTAGGTGCTAGCTTCGTCTGGCTGAAAAGAGCGGAGGCGCGAGGTAAGCCAAGTGGTCACGTCAGCGGGTAGAGGAGACGTCGTCGCCAAATCTGCAAGAACATCAGCAAGACAACACTTGTTGGCGACGGTGCTCTCCCTCACGAGCTGGGCTGCCATTGAAAGCTTCTCATCCTTCTTCTGCAGAAGCGCGCGGAACGCGTCCTGATTCTTCATAGCGCCCTCCGCCCCGATCTCCTCGAGGACGACGCGAACCTCCTCTATCGTGAGCTTCTCTTGCATCGCTCGAACGGCGGCAAAGCCACTCCCCGCAGTCGGCGCTTCCACTGACGTGCTCATGCCTTGACGCAAGGCGGCTCGAGTGAGAACGGGTTGTGTGAAACTGGCGTGGGCCAAAAATATGGGAAAACTCTTGAGCCACAATGGCTTGAGCCAGGCCGTCACGGAAGACTCCGAACTGCAAGGCACGGCAGTGGCGGTCACCGCTAAGCAGGCAACGGAATTCCAGGCCAAGTCCGATCCAAACAGCGATGCTGGCGTGTGGGCCCCGAACAGTCAGGCCGTCGCGACGCTCAAGCGGCGTGGTGCACGCCTCGGCTATTCGCAAGAACGACCTTGGGTAAGAGTGACCTTTGGTGCTCGGCTTTTTGGGGGACGCGGGGGGGCCAACCGCAAGCGCGCTAAACGCTACTGTCGAATCGCGTTCGGCGATCGGTGGTCCCCACTGGGCCCGCGTTAAAGGTCACTCCTGCGCTGAGTCATTCTTACGTGTACTCGAACAATGTTCGGCAATGTATTCTTACGCGACTGTCAGAGAACGGCCGAGGATGAGAAACTGCCGCCGGGGAAGTGGTCGAGATCTCTGGATGTCGACGTTGCGAGAAAAACACGACGTCGGGGGCCTCGGGATAAGACGAACTCGAATACTCTGACGTGCATTCGATGGGCCAATATTACGTGCAGTCGAAAGCACCCACGACTGGACATGGGACGCACAACGACATACTAGTACTATATGTTCCCGTTGGAGGCGCGCGTCCGACCCAAACATATGGTATACCCATCTTGTAGTATATCGTTTCCAGAGCAGGGTGACCAGAAAGCGCCCGCCACGACGCATATAGGATAAGATTTCTCGGTACGCGCATCGCCCCTGGGAGGGCAACGCACAGATAGTATAAGTATGTTGGGGTGACGCCGAGGACACGGCGGGGCACCCTCCACGGGGCACCAAGCCACAGGGGCACTCACAACGCCGCACCAGGCAGGGGCCCCGAGCACACGGCGCCGGCCGCGGGGCACGGAGAAGAGGTGTGCCCCACCTCCCTCATGGATCGTCCCCCCCGGGCCTGGTTTCTTAAGGCGCCTTTTTTGTAACTGGGGGGGTCCTGTCTATTAGGGCGCTTTCTTTGGATTGGACCTTGGGGGGTCCGGTTTGTTAAGGCGCCCCGTCGAAGAGGGGGGTCCGGAATATTAGGTCGCATTTGGAGGGGGATCCGGTTTTTTTGGGGGGGCGATTCATAAGGGATTTGGAGTAAGGGGGCCCAGGGGCAAACAAATAAGTGGACACTGATCCCAGGATTTCTATGTTTTCCACATGTTCTGTCGATGCTCGTCTTGCCCCCCCCACACACCCCATATTTTTCTATATATGATCCAGGGTCGAGGGCCCACGGGCCCCCCCCCCCAGATGGTATGGTCCCAGGATTCCTCGGGCCACCCCCCCCAGATGGTATGGTTCAAGAGACGACGACGACGACGACGACGACGACGACGGCGACGACTACGACGACGGCGACGACGACGACGACGACGACCACGACGACGACAACGACGGCTGCGGCGGCGACGACGCCGGCGGCGGCGGCGGCGACGACGACGATGACGACGATGACGACGGCGACGACGACGATGACGACGGCGACGACGACGACGACGAGGATGACGAGGACGACGACGAGGACGACGAGCACGACGAGGACGAGGACGAGGACGAGGACGAGGACGAGGACGAGGACGACGACGACGATGACGACCTCTGAACCACCACAGCACCACACCACATCCACAGGGGGGGGAGGGGGGCACCGCAGCGCAGCACCACGCCACGCCCACCTCTGAACCACCACAGCACCACACCACACCCACAGGGGGGGGGGGGAACCGCAGCGCAGCACCACGCCACGCCCACAGGGGGGGAAGGGGGGGACCATCGCGCGGGGGGGGGGGGCCAATGGCATCAGAATTGGGGGGGGGGCCCAAGCCCTGGACCATACATGCCGGGGGATCGACGAATATCGATGTCTGTAATATTTTTCCCCTTCTGAATATGGTCGGCCTTTCAGAGGCCCTGTAAAGTCAAAACGTGTATTAAGGCCTGGGGGCCAGGACGCAAGACCCTTGCAGGCCGAAGTTGGGATTTTTCGGGCGACGGGCGACCAGTGAAAACGGCAAAGGACGGCCGCCGCAGAGGCAAGGGCACAAGGGCAGCCGAGGTGAAGGCGCGCGTCCTTACTAGGCGCGTTGCCTGTGACCCAAAACATATGTCGTCACAACTTCAGGGGCGCACACCTCTGCCTCCGCCAATTTCCGCCGGCCGTCCGCGAGCTTCCGCTGGCGAAGCCGCCCCACGACTTCGCTTCCGATGGCTTCCGTCCTCTCGCCTGGGCGGAGACGTCCACCTCCCGATGCCTCGAGGGCGAGGCATTTCCAGAAGCGCACCAGCCTGCAGGGCACCTGCCACCAACCACGGGGCACCGAGTACAGGGCAGAACAACCAGCGGGCTCCCCGATGGAACAAACCTGCAGGGCACCAACTACAGGGCACCAACCTTGGGCGACCAACCCTCCTCCTCCTCCTCCTCCTCCTCCTCCTCCTCCTCCTCCTCCTCCTCCTCCTCCTCCTCCTCCTCCTCCCACCACGTCCTCCCTCCTCCCTCCACGTCCTCCTCTTCCTCCTCCTCCTTCTCCTCCTCCTCCTGCTCCTCGCCCGACTGCGAGCGGGGCCAGCTCCAGCGCAAGCACCCTCTGGGTAAACCCGTCTGTGCGCACGCGCTTCCGTATAGATAGATACCGAGTCTGTCGCTACGCTCCACGGAGGGGTGCCTTATGGTGCTTCGGTGACCAGTCTGACAGGGGCCGCGGGGGAGGGGGGAATGGGGCCGCAGGTGCGGGCCAGGGATGGGCGAACCCAAGTGCGCAACTGATGAGCCCGCACCAAGTGACGGCAAGCATGGCGACCCTAATCCCTGACTTTGTCTAGTTTCGACATGGACCAGAGACTCAAGACCAAACTCAAAGATGCATGACGGGGTGGCGTCCATCCTCGATAGGGATGTTTCCGAATAGCCCCCTGGAGGTGTATCCTCGAATTTCCACCCTTTTCTGGAGAAGCCAAGAGGTACCGAGACCGCTAATTCCTGGACCTCTCCCCGGGTGCGTCCTGGCCCGGATTTCGAAGCGAATCCCGCGGTGGCGACGAGGGCCTCCCAAGAGGCTGAACAAAAGGAAAACAGATGAAGCGTGAAGGTATCGGTACTTTTTTCCTACTCTGAGCTTTCCGGGCGAACTCGGAGACTGGGGCTGAGACGCCGCCTGCGACCAGAGTCTGGGTCCACCAAAGGGAGGGTGACCCTGAGGAGGGGCGTGAGTTCGATCCGCTGGTGCACCGAACTGCCGCAAACAGATGCCCCCCGCATGCCCCACCGATCGGCCACTATGGGGAGCTGCCAACAACGGCTGGGGGGCATCTGTTTTGGGCGGTCCGGTGCAAAAGCCGATCGAACTCCCCCCCCCGAGGCACACCCCCCCTTTCGCGGGATCCCGACAGAGGTCGCTCTGGCGAAGGCTCGCTCCTGCGCGTGGGGGGCCCAGCGCGAGGGGACGGAGCCGAGTGTCACTGCACCGACCAGACGTGCTGCAGCGGATTTTTGCATGGATTTCTCCCTGTGTAAAACCCCGAAGCGGCGAGCGAAAAACGAAGTGAATGTCACGCGGATTGTTTTCGTCTTCCTGGCGAGAAAATCCGCACGAAAGTCACTTCGAAATCCAGAACGACATTCTCCAGGACTCTCCCGGGCCCATCCGATCGTTTTCCGAGCGAAGTCCGCTCTGCGATGTTGGCGCCATGACGAGTGCCGAGATCGAGCTGAGCCAAACGCGGGGTCCAAAACCCGGTCGAGCCGGTGGCGCCAGGCGCCCACCGCGTGCATGAGGGAGCGGTCGGAAACAGGGTGAGCGGCGGTCTCGGTAGGGCCTGCTGCGGCTGCGCGCGGGGTGGGCCCTGGGCTCGTGGGCGATAAACATTTTGCGCGGCAATTGCCCGAGGGAGCCTCAAGTGATTATCACGTGTTTCGTTCATTGGGTGGCCCGTCCTATGCGGCGGCCTGCGGCTGTAACCGCATGGCCGGCCGCCAGGACGTGGGTCGAGCCAGCTTTTCTGGCCAGCCTGATTCGCTCGTTGGGCGAAAAGCATGTCCGTACCCGCGGCCTCGCGGGCGGGGCCCCTGGGCCGCGACCCCGCGGGTACGGGGCGTTTGCTTCGCGGCTGCCTCGCGCGGGGCGCCTCCGTGCGACCGCGTACTCCCGCGGGATCGCGCCCCGGGCGGCAGACCGCGAGGGCGCGGATGCGGATGTGTGCGTCGCTCGTGGTGGTGCGGAGTGGCCGTCGGCGCGCGGCTTCGGGGTGCGGGAGCGGAGCATCGGGAACTGCGGCTCGGCGTGACGCGGCGGCCGCCACGGCGCAGCGCTGTGCCGCCGTGCACTGCCCGCGGACAGCGCGCCGCTCCGCGCCGCGGGACGGGGGGCTGGGAAAGGCTCGGGACGCTGACGCCTGGAGGCAGTCATCGCGCCACCATAAGGAACGCTGAGCAAGGAGGAGGAGGCGGAGGAGGAGGCGGAGGAGGAGGAGGCGGAGGAGGAGGCGGAGGAGGAGGAGGCGGACGAGGAGGAGGAGGAGGAGCGCAGAGCAAGGAACGAATGGGGCTTTTCTGGCCACGGCGAGCCTCGGCCACGACTGGCCCCCCCCGGCCCTGACCCCAAGAACGGCCCGAAAGCCCGGGCCCCTCCCGATCCCAACCTGGCCCTTACTTCCACGACTTGGCTGCAGCGTGTCGCGCCGCAGCGTGGCGGGCCACGGCCAGCGGCGCGACAAGCCGAGCCAACATCCGCGGCCGCAGGCCACTGATTACCTTCGCACTCCCGCGCAGGCCCCCTGGGGCAGGAACGGCTCCTCGGCCCAGACCTCGAAGCGCGACGGCCGACTGCACGCTCGCGCCCCCGAGGGTCGCCTAGTGCTGCAGGGAGGGGAGGACTGGAGAGAGCGAGGAGGAGCACAGCGAGACCCCCCGAGCTGGCAACATCGCACGGCGACTGGCTGGTGGTTCCCTCTTCTTCTTCTTCTGGCCCAAGCTTCGGTCCGCGAGGATTCTTTTGGGCGCCCGAGTTATCCGGGGTAACTCGGGTCCGGGGTAACTCGGGTTTGGATTCCCGAAAAACCCGAGTTACCCTGACCCGAGTTATCCCTGACCCTCGAGTTATTCCCCGAACCCGAGTTATCCCTGACCCGAGTTACCCCTGATTCGGGGCTCTGATTCTTGGTGAGCTCGGCCCCTCATCCCCCCCGTAAGCAGGTGCTGGGCTCACGTGCTTGGCCGGGCCGGCTATCTTTGACCTTCGTTGAGCAGGGGCCGACCGTCCCGGCGTTCCGATAGGCCTACCACGACCTGTTCTTAGAACCCACAAATGTTCTAGTAAGACAGAAAGTTCCTAGAACATGCGCCCGATGCGTTAAAACAAGACAGTCCCAGCCAGAAATGTTCCAAGAACATTTCGTGCAAACCACAAACGGTTCTTGGAACATTCTTTGGCGGGCCTATAGGCGAGCCAGGACGCTTCGCCACTGCTTGAAAAGACGGCGATGCCGCCGCCAGGTGGGAGCGAAGCGGAGGGAGGAGGAAAAGAGAGAAGAGGGAGGACCGAGAAGCGAGGAGGGGGGAGGGGTATGAGGAGGAACGCGGGGGGGAGGGAAAGGCAGCAGGACGAGGGAGGACGACGAAGTCGGAGATGACGACGCCGTGAGCATGTCGACGACGCCGTCGTGGACGGCGCCGACGCCGTCGACCGACGCAACCGAAGACGACGTCGATGACGAGGATGACGACGATCCTTCTCGTTGCCGTCGTCGTCATCGTCGTCGTCGTCGTCGGCACTGTCGGCACGGTCGGTGACGTCGGCGTCGCTGTCAGCGTCGTCGGTATTGTCGGCATCCGCGTCGCCGTCGGCGTCGTCGGCGCCGTCGTCGGCCTCGGCGTCTCCGTCGGCGTCGGAGTCGCCATCGCCGTCGTCGGCTGCGGCAGCAGCTTCGACGACGGCGTCGACCGCGAAGGGGCGGGCCTGCGGGGCGGCGGAGGCGCAGACGGCGCCCGGGCGGGCACCCGTCGTGTGGCGGCGCGCGGCGTCCCTGGCGAGCCGTCGCGGGGGGGACGGCGGTGTGTCTCCTTTTTCACCTACTCCCTGTCCTCCTTGACCTCCCATTCCTCCTGCTGCTCCTCCTCCTCCTCCTCCTCCCTGCCCTCCCTGTTCCCTCCTGCTCCTCCTCATCCACCTCCAGTCCTTCTCCTCCTCCTCCTCCTCTCCTCCTCCTCCTCCTCCTCCTCCTCCGCCTCCTCCTCCTCCTCCTCAT